TATATGTGGCCGTGGGAACAACTCTGTGCATCATCAGTGACACTGTAGTGGAAGTAACATAGATACAGATACAGATACATTGTTATCTGTGTAGTTTGTATAATGTATGTACCAGAAATAGAGAAGGTCTGTAACATACTGTAAAATACCGGTACTTTATTTTCGCTCAAGAAATGATTCATTCAAAATAAATATACCCTTTTTCCTATATTTTACATTCAACTTGTCAAAAATCAGTGAAAATAAATTCCATACACAACACCCAAACAGTCTTTCCAGTAAAAATTAATTCCAGCTAAAATAAATTATTTTACAGTAGGTTATGAAGTACAGCAGATTATGCTCTTTTAGTCTGTGTGACCAAATTCACTTGCTTAAGTTGGCTCTGTTCACAGTATGGAATTGCTGCTTCGTCTTTGCTTGCACAGTCAGCTAATCCTCTATATCCATATTTAGCCAGTAGAAAGGGGTCTGGCAACTGGCTGGAAGCTTCCTGGTCTAGCGTTATGGTTCATAACTACAAAAGAAGATCAGTGCTGTACTATAAAAAATACTTAATATTGGCAATCTGTTATGTAGATGTTATGTATTTTTTTTTTATAATTTGTTGGACCAGAAGTGGTACACTATAAAATAGTGTTCATGTATTATGATTGCACATAAAGTGTCTCCAGATTGTGTGTTTTACTGTCACCACCATATTGTTCAGAACACCAAAACAGCAATATTGCCAGCTAAGTTGCTGACTGCTTTGTTATACTTGTCTCAAGATCGTAACATGATTAGAACTGGTTAGTTCAAACCATTTTGATGAGGATATAATAAGCACCTGATACACCAGCAACTGTGTCCTGACATTTCATACTGTGTCACACATTTTGTTTGGATAGCTTTAACATTTAGTATATAGAAATTAATATGATTGAAAAAATTAAACTGAAAGGTAATTCCATAGTGATCTTACGTTTATGTCAGAGTCCTCCACTATTATATTTCCTGTTGAGATTGGCATGACCTAACTTGTTCTTATCGCATAATGATCTGCAGGCGCACTTTACAAACCATTCAGCATCTTAACTGGCAATGTTGCTCTTTTGGTGTTCGGATCATAATAGCGGTAAAAAATTACATTCAGAGAATAAACTGTAGCAGGTCACATGCTTGTAAGTATACAAGAGTAAACAATAACTTGTATGTCCTCTTGAAAACATTGTAATCCTGCAAATTGAAATCATGCCATACATTCTTTTCTTAATTCCAATCTCTAAACAGCATTCTGTAAGTTCCACTAGCAATTAAAGCATTTACAAAATACTTTTTTTGTAGAATATTATTTATGTTCAAAATGAACTTGCCCCCACTACGACTTACACAAAGCAAACTTGAACTAATTGGGATCAAACTTGCCAACAGTTTCAATTGTTAAATGTTTATAGTGGCATATATTTGTTTGGCATTAGTTTAATTTTCTAAGTGATGGTAGAACTATTTATTGCTACGTTCATGTTATGGGATCTTGGCACGTGCTGGAATTTGTAATCTTTTGTGTTTGCAGAGGGATTACAGCAGTTACGTTCACGTTAGTTGGGACCCACTTGCAACCCACTCGACTTGACTCGCCGTAATCATGCCCTGATTCTTTGATCTTTTATTTGACGCAAACATGAAAAAAAGTATGCACATGATGATAATAATAATTGCTCTATTGTAATTATATCCATTTGCTGTTATGGAACATATTTATTATGAGTCATCATGCACATGAACAGCAAAGAAGATTAAAAAAAAACAATATTTTCTACAATGTATCATCATCGCTATACAAATGACTAAACATATTTAACATATTTTGTGTGAATTGTTTTTGTTTTCTAGTGTTGACACAAGTGAATACATGCGCAATGGTGATTTTATTCCTACACGTTTTCAAGCACAGCAAGATGCTGTGAATTTAGTATGTCATTCGAAAACTAGAAGCAACCCAGAAAACACAGTAGGACTTCTTACCTTGGCTAAGTGAGTGTATTTTTATTATGAATATGCACATTATTATTGTTAGGATTGAAATTAAATGATTAAACTTGGATAGGTTGGAAAATAAAATGTACATTTGTCAACTCATCACAATGTACTTGTTCATAAAAAGTGAGACATTATTTCATTCCTGGTTCATCATATTCTATGCATGGTGAAGTTGTACTTTACAACATTTGCAACTTGGAATTCTTTAATTGATAAATAAATGTATTCTGTCCACCCGTCAATTTGTTACATTTCCTCATATGTTCTTGAACTTGGTATCAGCTAATGCATACATAAATATATGCTCCTAATTTTTGATGTGTGATCAGATTCAAAATGGCTGATTAGTGACCATATTTGACCAAAAAATGGCTAAAAACTTGTGTGTTGGAACTCAGAATTTTGGGGAGAAGGAACTGTGCTTGTTTTTGCCATATGCTCTTATCTAACTTTTTTTAATTTATTTTTGCTTATATCCTTCCAGTGTCAAAGTATTAGCTACATTAACAACAGATGTTGGCAAACTTTTAGGTAGTTTGCATCAAATTCAACCAAAGGGAGACATCAGCTTTTCAACAGCTGTAAAAGTGGCTCATGTAAGTCTTTATTTTCACATTTCTGCTTCATACATCTATGGATATAGTACCAATAACTTCATACCCAAAAGAAATCACAAATTGGAGGAAACATGTTGTACCGTACTTATCCGGGTAAGAGCCCATGCCTGGGCAAACGCCCACCCCCCACTTTTGACACAATAAAGGAGTTGAGGTCATATCCGGGCACACGCTCAGGGGGTCTTTTTCTACAAAAAAAAACTATTTTCTATTCGTTGACTGTGGTTGTATTAACAGTTGACTTTCTTGAAGACTGTCGTGATACTTATAAAAAATGTTAATTGCGTAAAACAAGGGGTGAATGCAAAATAGCTGTGACAGCTTTCTGCCTTCAGGGCAGCGCGTTCTGAATCATAACAGTCAGCAAGTCTATAAAAATATATATTAAAGCAGAAACGGTAGTTCTCTTTTTAAAATATGTCGTGGCCCTAAAAATGGCCGGCCGTTTGGTTTGTGCTTCCTTAGTAACTTAGAAACGATTCAGGCAAATCGTAAAATGAGAGCCG